AGCCATGGTTGGAAGCAAAAAGTGCTACAAACTGTTGATTTCTCAGTCCCCCAGAGCCAGCTTGTCCTGCTCAGGACCAAACCATATACGTGGATGCTTCGTGGCTGGTTGAGGGTCCAGGTGGAAGCTAACATAGAATATAAATTAATCTAACCTAAGGAACAAAGGAAGACTGCTAATTACCAAGATTTTAAATTCTGGGTCATCTCTATCCAAAAAGCCAGCTTTTTGTACCTGCGAGGTTCGTGAGTGGTTCATGCATGAGTGGAACTTTTGTTCATTTCTCTCAAGGCACAGATAGAAAAACTATCAGTGTTCCCCCAAGCTGAGTTCCACACCACCACCACCCTTAACCTAATTATTGGTAATCTGAAAATATGTCATGACAGGTTTGCACTTCTTCAAGTTAGCCATTTTGGTATTATGGCCTATGGCATGGCCTACAATTTATATTGTATCTTTCAATTAGATTGAATTTAGTTATCATTTCAAGGATCTAAAGAGGAAGGAAGGAGAAGCACTCCACCTAGAAGGCCATGTAATTTGCCCATTGCCAGAAGGAATGTGGCTGAGGCCACAGGGCTGCCTTGGCAGGTTCCAGACAGATACACCTGGGAACTGCTTTGCCCCAGAGCTGGCCTGTGGGCAGGGAGGTAGAAAGCTTGTGTTCTATGGCCTCTTCACTGGCTCCCCAGGTCATGGCTAGGCAGAAGTCTTGTAAGCAAGATAATCAGCACCAGATCCCTTCTGTAAAATGTCTGTAGGGACAAAAGCAGTCTGGCTTTTGGTGGTCCTTGTCCCAGTAAAATGTCACTAAAGAGGACAGACTTGTGCAGCCTCAGCTCAGTGAAATTTATAATCTGGCCTGAGTACTTCCGTCATCTGTTCAGGTCCTGAAGTGACACGGCTCATTTAAACTCCATAAAAGAGCCCTGCAATGAACACCGAGTACACAGGGTCAGAATCCTATGGTCAGGCTTGTGTGGGCAACAGGGACCTGGGTTAACTCACACCTTCAAAGATAACACAATTTCTTGTGACCAGTCCAAGCTAAGGGTTCTGAGAGCAAGAATCCACAGATACCTACCCACTGTGCCTTCCTCAGCCTCCCGATGGTCCTTGTCCCTAAAGAGCCTCACAGAAAATCTCTTGTGAAAGCCCTGTTTATGGATTTAATGAGCTGCCGAGATAATCTGTCCTCCGAAACAAGTGCTGGACTAATAAATACCAGGATGGAGAAGAGATTTGCTGATGCAGAATGATCCCAGAAGCCATTCTGAGTCCTCTAAGAGCTTTTTGTGAGGCGTTGGGTTTATGATGGTCATCCTAAAAGAAGAAAACGCCAATTGTGTTCTCTTACAATGTCTCCTCCCTTGACAGACTTAAGGGTGGACTACTCACTCTTGACAAGTTGCTCTAAGCTGAAACATGATGGGGAATTAGTGTCGTATGATGCACAGACTGGTGGCTGACTCGGAAAGGGGCTAAGATATCTCCCTCATGGTTTAAAGCTATTGTGGCCTCAGCTGCCTGAGAAGCCACTGCCTCAGGAAAAGCTAACTGCAGAGATGATTTGAGGTTTGTAGCAAACTGTACATTAGGCTGTCCCAGGCCAATGACTTGAAGTGGCATGTGCAATAATAGCTGTCCTGCAAGAAAGCATTTCATAAAGATGGCAAGCTTGACAGCCATTCCTGCAAACACACAACTGCTAATTAGAGTTGAACTAGACTGCCCTTAAATGAGAATTGGAACATAGTCATATTTAACATCATGTCTGTGACATGCCCCACCATGCTGGCCAGATTTCCCTACTGAGAGCACCCTGGGATACACTGATCCAAAATGGGTAGCTACATCACATCTTTAGACCTCTAAATGGAGCTGGAAGCAAACCCATATGACCACTACAGAGATGCAAACAACTGCTGGCCCTGAGAATTGCTGGCTGCCCAAACTAGAGCAGTCGAAACCCTCACAGATCCAGTCTCTAGATTCTATTTTCAGGAGGATGCTTTGCTGACAACACCCCACCTCAGGATGTCTTAATGGGAAAATAATCAACAGCTACATCTAAGCTAAATAAAAAGCCACCTGCTAAGGTCATTGCTAGCAAGGACCTACAAAGCACTGAATACCCCTGCCACACAACAGACTCCAACTCTACTCAGCTTGTAACAGTACTTTCCACAACAACACTGAAACAAATGGAGACCAGGTCACAATGGCTCTGCCAGAGAAAGAAAGGGTTTAATAATAAAACCATCTTTAATTAGTTGTTCTTGCAACTGTACTTCCAATCTGGGAGACTGTATTTCATCCCATGATATTGTGTCTTAGGCTGAAACTACACTAGATTTTCTTTGTTAAAATTTTTACATTTACCTGGCAATTCTCAAAATCAATTTTAACTATCCCTGTGCACTCATGTATTTTGAATCATAAAACTCACTCAGTCTAGACCTTTAAAGCAGACCCTGAATTATGGATCCAGGTTAATGTTATGATGTTCCAGGAACCCTCCACTCCCTGTCCCTGCTGAGGCCTGAGAGGCTAGACATAGTGACGCCAATCCAGGATCTGTGCCAGGATCTGTATCTACTGTTACTCCTCAAGCATGGCAGCTGGTATGACACCTGTCATGGGGTAGAGGACAGCGTCCCTGAGCATGTTTTAAACATGTCAAACGTGTGTGTGTGTGTGTGTCCTGTAAATTTCAGGACTAACGTGACCTATATGGGCCCTGAGGTGCACCATGCTCTATTGCCAGCTGACTTCTGTTTTGTAAAGCTCTGAACACAGCCCTCCGAGAGAAGATATCAGGACTCAGGAACAAATGGTGGGGAGTCAGAGAAAAGGTGCTATCAACATCCCATCCTAGTTAGCCTGATCCCAACCCTTCACTTGAGACCTGTCAGTCATCCTTGCCCTCTTTTAACCTAAGTCTGCATCAGAACTTTGGGGTGGGGTTGGGGGGTCATTCCCAATAGGCACCTCCCACAAAGGAGACTCTGAAGTGCATAATAAATATGTGGGATGGGTATGGAATACAGCTAAGTAGCAGCATGCTTACTTAGCATATAAGAAAGGGGAGAGAAATATGGACTTGAGAAGAATCAATACCAACACCAGAACATGGAGATGAGCATAAAAAACCACAAAGCTAGAGAACACCATTTGCAGGTATGGCTTCAGCATTCAATGACTGGGCAAGCACAAATAACCAGACAAAGCAGGTTTCAAGGAGAAACAGTTCCTTTAGCTGCTCCTTTAGCTGAAGCTACTATCTTCTAATGGAGACTTGTGGGGCACACATCAGGAAGGCAAGAGCAGGCCAGTTTACTGTGCCTCCCACATGTAGCTGAAGCACCATGGCTGGGCAAACTGGCTTGCTAAACACATGTAAAGTCAGCAATGTTCCACGAACAGGTAAGGGGGCTTCTTGTTTAGGCGATGATACACTGTCACTCAGCCCAGGCTAGATCTACTTGGGCATTCACTCATGGGCTAGCTCTCCAGCTTTCTCAATCTAAAGCTACTTCAGGATGCTGTGAAGGCATGCAGTGCCTCAGCGCTGATCCCTTTCCCCATCGCTCTCCTGTACCAGAAACCTGACTGACAAACTAGTCTTCCTTAGGCACAACCGATGGGACTGGCATCACCCTTGGGGCTCAGCACAGATGCCCACAAAGAACAGAGAGAGCTAGGCATTGCATCCCTCCACTGGGGAGGCTCCACAACCTTACTTCAGAATCCGGTCCAGAACATAAGGTGACGTTAATATTCATAAATACAAGTTGTGGTCTCAGTGTGTGTGTGTCTGTGTGTGTGTGTGTGTGTGTGTGTGTGTGTGCTTGGTAGTTATTTTGTAGAGCTATGACTGAAGTATAACCATGCTGCTGGCAGCAGACTGGCAAGCATCCAGAGACTCCAGTACATTCCCAACTGGGGCATCCTCCACTGCTGGACACTTGGCATGCAGCATGGCCATGAGGAGGGAGTCGCCAGCAGGCACCTGGCTTCACAAGTTCCCTGTGACCTGTATGCATTTCCGCCCCAGCTGTCAACATGGGCGGAACAGTGCTCGTTTCTCTACACGTGCAGCATATTAGTAAAATAAGAACCAGAGGTTTTTGTGTTACAGTTACCATAATTTTATCTTTTGCACCCATTCCAAGCTCTGCACCCCCCAACCAAAAAAAAATCCTCTATACGTCACGAGTTAACATTTGTTTTCGTAAAACTTAGGCAATATTTTTTTAACATAAGTCTATGACACCACACTGTTTTCATCTGATCAAATGCCTGCGGTCCAGCGTTTGCATAGGTGTGCTTCCTTTTGTGCAGCTCTCACTGAATTAAGGCTGTCTGGTGTTTTGGTTGTGCTCCTGTGATTAGAGCAGCTCTCAAGCAATGAGAAAAAAGTTCTGCATTCCAGATTCTCTCTCTGAAGTTTTGGGCAGACAGCTGGGGCTTGGGAATTTTCCCACAACATAAGGCAATACGTGTGGAGAGATTGCAAGTCCTAGAAGTAAAATTCGGAGCAGCCAGTGATGTGTCTTGTGTGTCAGGAGGAGCTCCATGGTCTCACATTCACCTCGAAAAGAGGCACCCGCCCAGCATGGGCGTGCCGCTGTGGAGGAGCTGCCCCCATCTGGTAACCAGAGATAACAGAACTGCAGTGTGTGCTCCATGGCATCCGAGCTACCAGCTGAAAGTCTCCTCTACTCCAAGGCCTGAGAGAACAACTGCAAACCATTCGAAGAGGAGAAACAGCAGAAGGAACCTGCCAAGGAGACAGCCAGCTCACAAGACTTACATTCTGTATAACAAGGGGAGACCCAGCTAGAGACAGGAGGTGCACCAAAAACCCTCCCTATAAATCAAGTATTGTCAGGAAGTATCAAAGTAGACATTTTTGATAAGCAGCTTTGCATTTAACATTCAGTCAAGATACTACAACCTTATAAACCAAATCTCTATGAAAATAGTAGAAAAAGCTAACAGCAAGAGTCTTCAAAGTCCCCCAGGATCTTGTAACACAGAATGGAGTGTTCTTGGGCCAAGGCTGCAAGCTCCTTCAGGAACTCTGGGAAGAGAGCAGCAGCCAGCATGGTGTTCTTCACTGGCAGAGGCAGGTTTGGGGGTGCCCTGGTCACCCTGGCTCTGTTGCCCAGGAAGGGCTGAAGCACATGTGGAGGGTCATCCATAAGGGTCTTGTCATTTTCTGGCCTGGAGATCTCCTGAATGGGATCTGAAAAGAGAAGACAGTAGTGGGACTCTTAAATGACAAGGGTATGTGTGAGGGGTGAGTGGATTCATGAAAGGAATAGTCCTGGCTGCAGTTCCTTGCCTGACTAGATCCTGAAGACAGCCCCGGTATTCTCCATGACAGGCTTGCACAGTTTGTCACAGCTAGCACTCAGCTTGCAATACAGGACTGTCTACCTAAAATCACATACAGGAGACCTTATGTATGAGATGTGGCAATAATACTGGTTTGGCTAGAAATTCCCAACTAGACACTGTGCTGGCACTCTGAAGTCCTGGTTATCTGGGAGGCCAGGGAAGAAGGGTCATGTGAGCTCAGTAGTTCAAGATTAGCCTGGACAACAGAGCAATCTCCTGACTGGATGGATGGATGGATGGATGGATGGATGGATGGATGGACGGACGGACGGACGGACGGACGGACAGACAGACAGACAGACGGACAGTAGGCAGGCAGGCTGACTTCCAATAGCTCCTGCTACCACTTCTGTCAGTTGAGTGGAGACTGGGGTCATGGGAAATCTACCAAGGACACCTGTGGCCCCTCTGCTCTCCTGACACCCAGTACTAAGCCAACTACTCTACTCCTGCCAGGGCCGCCCTGGTCCCCAGGTGCAGCTCCTTAAACTCTTGTGTTCTGCAGCTGCTGCTATGACCTCAGCTTCCCAGAAACCCCCAGCCCATTCTATCTGGTTCCTCCAGCCTCCAGAACAGGAGAAGAATAAGAGATTCCTCTAGATCACCAGAGATAACGGTGAGGACCCAGCTAAGAATTTCACACAGCCATTAGGATCTAATGGCAACAAAGGGCTTGGACAGCCAACACTTAGAGAGGGCTCCAGAGGCCTGTGTCTGTTTCAGTAATGTAAATCTAAGATGTCAAGAGCCCAGGTTCCAACACATGCAGCTGATTTGCATTTTTTACCAAATCCGTTCTCCTAATTAAGATGGTTCACTCTCCTGACTCTGAGTCCTGAGCGCCCCAGCCCTCGTGTTTGCAGTTCTTTAAGCCATCTCTGCCCCCTCCCCAAATGATCCCGTTACTCCCTCTAAATCACAGTATCCAGCTCTTCATTATTCTGGCTGCTTCTTAGAATTCAGCCCCATTTTTCAGCACTTTTCTGAGTGTTGCTTAACGACAGCACTAAAAATTCTTGACATTTATAGTACTTTCTACATCTCACTACTATAGTCTTTAGTGTTAAAAAAAATCCTCCGCTTTGCTGCTTTAAATATCCTTTTGGATTAAAGCGTATCACAGTTCGTGTCACAGAAAACCAGAAAAGTTGTTGAGAATCTGTCTCCTACTACCTTTTATCAGAAATCCCTCATGTGCCCTGGCAGGGTTAGTAACCATGCAGACAATGTTGAGGTCCAAGGTCAGCCTTGGTGACCCACACACTCTGGCCCTCAGGCACATTGTCTCTCCCACAGACAGTCAAAGCTCACTGAGGAAGCTGGCCTGGATCCCACTGGGGATCAGAACACTGGGACCAGAGTCTATGCTCTGCTGGCTGCCTCGCCCTCTGGAGCTGCATCCCCACATTTCCATCCACCCCCATCTTACTGAGCTTCAGAGGCCTTGGGACTATAGCTAAGAGCATAGATTCTATCACCTACCAGCTGGGCTATTCCAGGCAAGTGGCTTGACCTCTCTGTGCTCTCACTTCCTCTGACTGTCAGTAGCTCATGGCATTGCTATAATGATCAAATGAGTCACGAGGTATCAAGTACACAGGGGCCACTAGACTGCATGTGGTGCACTTCAGCTGCTACTAACTTCCCTCAAGCCCCTCCCTGCCCTGGTCCCCACCCCACTCACTGGAGGCTGGCCCAGGGTTTCAGCCAAGCGCTGCTCTTTTGCTTGTGCTGTACCTCAGTCTCTTCAAGAGCCAAGCCTCCTGAGAATGTGTCTCACAGCCTCTGGCCAGTGTATCCAGGGAGGCTACAACACTTTGCAGACTGCACGACTGAGGAAATGACTCTACTCCCGCACACTCCTGCTTCTCCTTAGAGCTGCCTCTCATGCCTAACCTCCAGCTTTCCATTTCAAACCCACCCCTCCTCTCTAAACCATGCCTTTTGTGGATTTTTTTTTAAATCTAGCATAACCTGTGAATTAGAAATATCACTGCTAAGGTTTGTCTGCCCAGCTTGAATCCACAAATCTTTGTTCATGAGACAGAAGAGCAGCAAAGGGGTCTGAAGACTTACAGGGACATCCTTCAGGTAGTCCCAGCAGTCCCTCTGGTGGACCCGAGCTGGCTTACCACCAGGAGATGGCCTTTCAGTGTGTCACAAGTACGCAGATTTGAGCGGTTGCCCTGACCTGGATCACCAGGTCTGTTTCCTTCGCTGTAAAATGGGTTAACATCTAGGCACCGTCTAGAATCGGAGCTCAGTTAACGGACTCTTTAAATGTAAGTTGGGGCACGGCACTATTATTGTGTAGTTTTAATGTATTTGAGTAGGATTTCTTTCCTGCTCTTCCTGTTCCTCCTCTTCTTCCTCCTCTTCCTCTTCTTCTTCTTCCTCCTCTTCCTCTTCTTCTTCCTCCTCCTTCTTTCTCCTTCTTTCTGCTGAAAAAGTAACTAAATCTCAGGAGCCAATGATGTGGTCCACTCAGCCATCACAGAAACTCCTCCATTCTCCTGTTGCAGAGCAGTGGTCATTTTAACTGGTCCCTGAGGAGGCTGGCTTTTCTGAAGGGACACCAAGAAGTGAAGAATGCAGAAGCTGAAGGTGGAGCAGCTCTGGCTGCAGACACCTGAGTTACAAAAAGGGTCCAAGCATACACAGCACCCAAAGGGAAAGCTAGGGAGAACAAACTGCAAGTCAACATCAGGACCAGGGCTGGCTTCTGAAATGGTGCCTGGGTCTAAAAAGCTGCTGCAGACAGTATCAGAGACTAACTCAGAGGATTTCAGAAGCTGGGCAGGACTAATGTTCCACTCATCTCCAGGCAGCAGGGCTGGGCAAAGGACACAGTCCAGAGCTGGAGACCCAGCTTCCCACCCAGTGCAGACGTCCTTCCCTCCCACAGTGGCCTTGCCTTCTCTTTCTGAATTCTAACAAGTTAAAACTGGACCCATCATTTTACCAGTGGTACCTGGCACAGCTTTCTTTTAAAATCTGCCTTGTAATGCTCCAGAAGAACCACAACCAGAGTTCTCGCTGTGGCCAGAGAGCGCCTGAGAAAGGAACAAATCTTCTGTTTGAAAGCCAAGAGAGGGGCAGAGAATTGCCGAATGGTAGAGTGTGTGCTTAATTAACATGCTGCAGGCCCTGAGTTCATCCCTAGCCACACCTCCAAAAACAGGAACATAAGACTCAATGAAGCAATGGGACCTGGATAAAATATCGGACACTAGAGACAGGAGCCAGTAGCCGCACATAGTTCTGGGCTCTTTTGAGCTTCTTATAAAGGTGTAACTCTCTCTCTCAGAGTCATGCTCTGTCTCTCATTCCCAGTCTTGTTTCTGGTCACTTGGCTTAGCTCTGAGGTCCCAGTCTCCCCACTGCTCAGCTGCCTCTGGGAAGCTTTGTTCCACACCTGGACAACTGTGGTGAAGGAGGCCAGAACAATACTGGACATTGGCTTGTTTGTGCCCACCAGGGCCTAGGTCACAGCTCAGAAGACAATGGCCATCAGATTTGTCTAACCAGAAGCAAGGCCAAGCAGCAGGACTCCCCAGGCCTCAGACTATTCTCAGCTATCCTCTGTCACACATCCCTGGCACCCGCCCTCTCTCTGTCCTGCCATGACCTACCTAACACCTCTCCTTTGCTGAGTGACACAGGAATTGCTGAGGGTAAACTGCACTTCTCCTCATCTGAACAAACAGTGTCCACCTCTTGGAGTCCTGAAACACAATTATCTTTTGGCACAAAATGCTCTAAAAATATAATAAAGAGAAGAGTTGCCATCTGCAGGGCAGGGATGGCCAAAAGATGGCTCTAGGAGTGCACATGGTGCCTCCCTGTAGTCTCTGGGTGCTGCAGGGATTTATTGGAGTTTGACAACATCTCACACCAGCTCCTCCCCTGAACCACCTCAGCTAGGAAAATGGATGGCCAGCCAGATCCTCCATGGAGGGTTAAGGCCCATGCAGGCCTGGGAGCATTCCCTTTTAGATTTAAGAACACAAGGAAGAGGCTGTTCTAGGATGGACACAAACAAAAATATTCCTTGATGCTTATAGGTTCCAGATGCCAAGAATACCTGCAAACAAAATGGAGGTAGGGAGAGGGACTGAGCGCAGGCTAAGACAGGCACAGTGGAGAAAGCTGGCTGACCTTTGGTGAGTGCCGTAGGGGTCATGTCAGACATGTCCACCCGGAAGAGCAGGTACTGCTGAGCTTGGATGAGGAGGCCCGGGAAGTCTCTCTCCACAGAAGCAAACTGCTCGATCTTGTTTTTCACAGATGCAAGGACCTGTCAAAAACACATTATTGATGCTCTTATTCCTCAGCCCCATTCCGCTCTTAGTCACCAATGCATCTTTTGGGTCCATCCCTCATTACAGGGGCTGTTATGGTATTGGACATTTGCTCATTTTTAACTGCCTGTGTTCCTGGTAAGGAACTCTCAAAACATCAAACCAAATGAAGCGCTGTAGTTTGTCTAGAATAGTCTATACAACAAGCCTATTGGGACAGGGAAGGGAAACAAGTTAATTGGAACATGGAGATTTTGAAAGCCACCAAAGTCATGAGAGGAAGGGAAGGACAGAAGGAATGGGCGTAGCTGTAACACACCTGGTAGAGAGAGCGGACGCTAGGCTGGAAGACCATGTTGGTGTTGAGGAGGAAGGAGCGCAGGAGTGGCTGCGGGTAGCTGGCCAGCTGGGTGATGATGCCAATAAGAAGCAGGTTGACATGCAGAGAGTTCTCCAGCATGTTCTCCAGCTTTGACAGGACCACGCTGATGAATGGACCTGCAGGGAGGACACAGTGTCAGGGCTGGCTGGACATGAGGGACAGTCTCCTAAGAGTTGCAGAGTCACTGGGGCCATAGCCAGGGTGTAAACACAGAGGACACATGTCTGCTCCTCCATGTAAAGGAGAGTTGACATCCTGACCCCACAACCACCTGCAGTACCTTGAAAGCGATGAAGAATTTTGAAAAGCTCAGACAACAAATAATTTTCAAAGATTGCAGTGCTTTTCCCCATTGGTTCTTCATTCCTGATTCTGTCAGTGATCAAAATGTACAATTCACTGTCTCTCCATACTATGGACTGCATGCAGATGTCAGAGGCCACCGAAAGTGTCATAGCAACAAGTCTTTGTGTTAGTAGAGAATACCTAACATATTAAGCAATATTTACCAAATAGCAACATGTCACTAGGGACTTTTTGTCCTATACATGCCTGAGAGAGGTTTTCCCTCAGTGTCATAGAGGAATGAGAAAGGAGAGACCGGTGAATGAAGAGGTCCTGGGTGAGACCTGACTATCCCTGGTAACTTGGTATCTACATTTTCCATTTCAGACCAGAGAAAGAAGGAATCAGTCTCAGGAAGCAGGGTCCAGTGTGACAGAGAAGTCTCAAAAAAAAGTCTTATGATTACAAAAGCAGTTTATGAAAATATACACATAAGCAAAAGGAAGCTGTTTCTGCTTCAGGTCAGTAGCAAGTTAATATGGTTTATGTGTTGGTTTACTGAGGGCAAGGAAAACAAAAAAATTATAAATCTGGAATTAATAAAATTACTTGAAGATGGTTTAAATTTTTGCCATAAAAGTGTTTCATTAAGCAAGATCGATGGGGATTCTGTGTCTCCCCCAGTGGAGCCATTGATGATGCCACTAAGTCTTGGCATATTTATAACACATGCACACAACCCTTGATAGATAAACACGCCTTATGAACACTTTGCCACCATTAGTGTGAGTCTGACACACTTCATCTCGAGATGCTTCATGCAGAACTCTGCCAACAGCTAAATTCCTTATAAGGAACGAGGTCTCTGAGAAGTGAGAACAGAGAGTTATGCCAAGCACCAGGATGGGTGTGTGATGGGACAATGCAGCCATCCTCTGCCAAGGTACCACCCCTGGGAAAGGCTGACAGAGTTCTTCATCTGCTTTCTATGTGAGTGGGTGAGGAACCCTAAGGGGATTGATGAGCCTTGGAGAATTTTGCCAGATAGATCTGCCAAACATATCCAGAAACCCCACAGACTGGAATCTCAGTCTGAAAGCAACTAGTGACTATCCCTTTTAAAAACCTAGAAATGTCACCTGGGTTCTTACATCATCACAGCACAATTCTGGCTTTCTGAGTTGATTTCCTTACCATCTTCTACTCCAACCAGTTTTCTGTCTGTCTGTCTGTCTGTCTGTCTGTCTGTCTGTCATACTCTCAGTCCACCCCCACTAACATCTTGTTCCTTATTCATTTCCTTCCATATGAAGAAAAAATCTTAATAAAATCATAATCAACTAGGTGGAACCTTCAGCAAAACATGCTCCTAATGTGAGTGTTTGACTTCCTTTCTCTGACCCCAGAATATTCTTGTCTGAATCCAGCCATCCTACCTACAAACACAACTATTGCCTTCAGTGACCTGGGTAGACATGTACAGCTCATCACTACTACAAGGGGGATGAAGAGCACAAATCCCATACATGGTGGAGAATAAGGTTATCCCATCAGCGTCTCATCTGAGTAACAGAACATTGAGTCAAGGCTAGGAGACGGCCATCATAATCCACCAATGGTCCTAACTATCACTCTTAGGCATGGGCAATGAAAAGAAAATACATTAAACCCTCTCAATCCTGATTTTATTCTTAGCTGGTTTCTAGCACATCAAAGAAAGCTGCTTAGCAAAAAGCAGTTGCCAGGGGAACTGTAAGCATTTGAAAATCAGAAGACTGTGCTACACTCAGGAAGCCACAGGCAACCTTGGGAGTAGAAGGTGAATATTTTTCCCTCTACTGGGAGGACAATTAGCTCCTCACCCACTAGTTTAAATTGTGGATGTTCCCATGTATCTACTACAAGGGGGGTGTGAACAGCCCATGTATCTGCTGAAGGCGTGGTCCCCTCTGTGGCACTATTAGAAGGTAGTGGAACATTAGGAAGTAGGGCCTTGCAGAAGGAAATTGGGTCACCAGAGGCATGCCCTTGAGGGGAATACTGGAACCCTGATCTTCCTTGTTCCTTTTTGTTCCCATGATACCATGAGATGAGCCACATATTACCCATGATGCAGTGCTACCTTACCACAGGACTGAAGGCAATGGGGCTGAGTGACTGACAGAATCTTCTGAAACAGAGAGACAGAAGAGAGATGAGGGTCTCAGACACTTCCCACAGTCCTAGGTAGCTGATGCACAGAGCTCACAAAGAATACTTCACTCTCCAGAAAGACTGTGGCCTCACTACTTTCCCTCCCCAGCACTCACTGCCTTCCCTTCAAATGCTCAGCCCCTTCCCTGTATTGAGTCTGTTCCCTGCACCTCTCAGTTCGGAAAACAACGTTGTTATCGACTCTCTGACTCAACTCTGTTCACCATCCCAACCTTGGAAACATCTAAACGTGCACCTTTATTTCTACTTCTGCATCTCTGCCTTAGGCAGAGTCTTTTCACGTCCTGTCTGGACTCTAGCAAGACTTTCTATTTTAACAGAGATTAAAATTACATACCACATACACATATAAACACACACTCACACACATACATGAGCACCTTTAAGACAGTATAAAGGCTTGTAAAACAAGCCACCTCCTGGAAGAAACTCTTGTTACAGATTCTAGTATATTATAAAGATGTATATATACAATAAAGTAATATCTGAATTATTGTTGAAAACATTTATTAAGCACATCCTAAACAGAAGTCAGAATTCCAAGTACTTTTCCTGCCTCACTGATAAAATCATCCTCGGACATGGAAAGAACCCATTTATCCCATTTAAAGAGAAGGCAGAATGTTAAATACACACAACTTGTAAATAATGGACTCAGAATCTCAATTTGGACCAACTGTTTCTAGGGCTGATAGCCAGCATATTATCTTAATTCCCAGGTGTGCTGTGGTTCGTGTAACTCTGTGTGTGTGTATGTGTGTGTGTCTGTCTGTCTGTCTGTCTCCTGGTATTGTGGTTTTTAAACAAAGACAACATTAGCTATCCTCTATTGTAGAGACTTCTTTTCCACTTAACATTATGTCCCGCAGAATGTCCACACATAACGTAAAGCTGTCTAAATGGTCTCAAGGCTACAGAATATTTGACTGTTTAGAGTGTTGCATAAGCAATCTGGTCTCCTACTGGTGGATATTTGGGTTCTTTCCATTCTTTCTCTATTGTAAACAACACTGCAGTGAACATTCTCGTGTGTGTGTGTGTGTCTGTGTGTGTGTGTATGTATTTATATAGATATGTGTGTCTGTGTATACATGTATAGATGGATGGATGTACACATGTGTGGCATGGAAGTATGAATACAGTTGTGGATGTGGCCCTAGAAACAGAATGACCAGGTCTAGGCAATGGCCTTGATAATAAACACATCTTCCACTTGTTCTTGCCGTTGCCTCTCCCAAACCCACACTGTCTCCACACCATTAAGGCTGGCTCCTTCAGATCTGTCATGCCATACTCCAACTTTAATGCTTAGGCCAGGGATACAAGGTCCCCCTTCTTCAGCTTGGCCCAAAGACCCCCTCCAAGCACACACCAAGTGTTCCTGGGCTTCCTCCCCCACTCTCTGCCCTGTGAGATTCGTACTCCTTAGTTCCACGTGCTCTGCCTGGACTCTGTCAGCTTGATGTGTAGCCATTTCTTCAGGAGGAAGGAGGGAGGCTCCTAGGATTTTACAAGGCTCAGAAAATTCATGAACCTGCAAGACTCATGAGGCTTCTCCTCAAAGTTCTATGGGTAGTTGGTGATTGCTCAGGGAGAGGAAACTGTTTTGTGTAGCTGCCTGTGAGTTGTGCAAGGACCTCCAGAGATGCTGCTGATGTGAGTCACTGCTCGTGTGGGATGGGCTTTTAGTCATCCATGCTCATGTAAGGAACCCTTCATATATGCTCATGTGAGGATCCCCAACAAACCTGGATGGATGTGTTTCTTTTGTTTGTCTTGGTGACCTCTCTACAGTAAACAGACATGTCCCTGAAGGCAAAGTCTCACTATGCTGCTTTCCCCTTGCACTCACCCTCAGAGACCCTGTTGTGATGCCGCATCCTCCATCTGCTAGGCTTCATTCCAACCTGGAACACAATGGCTGATACCCACTTCTCACTGCAAAGTTCTTTGCTGGCATCTTTGTGAATGACTGTATATTCTGTGTCTTTAGGTCTTATACATTCAGTTCACCAAATATTACAGGCTCAATAAAAAAATTGTTGGATTCATAAATAGGTGAAATTAGAAAAATGGAATCCTATGATTTTTCTAGGAAGTAAAATCGTCTCAGCAGAATTCATTTCTGCTGATGATGCCTGATGATTCTGTGGAGAGAGGGAAGGCAAGCTAATGCCTCAGCCCATACTTGGCAGTTTGGAAACCACAGGACTCACACAAGGAGGGATGCTTCCTGACTCTGTGTACTTGTTCCAAAAAGAGGAAGGGAAAAAGCAAGGCTTTCATGATAGAGACCATGTGTATCAAGGAACTTATATTTGATCAGCTCACAGGAACGACACATACATAACCTTGTTAGCAATAGTGTTGTTTTCTAGGCTTTCCCTAAGCTGTACTTCTTCCCTGAGTTACATACTCCCCAGGGATGTGACTATTTTGTCAGAAAGCTGGCAGCCTAAGAGGCAGCCTTCATTAGCCAGGACTTAGTCCTGATGTTCCACAAAAAGGTTGCAGGACATTTGGACTTCTCCTGTTGAGTGTGTCAGGAGGATAGGCAGCTTACTTTGGCCTCTTTACTCAGCTCCCTCAACACTGTCCCTTCCCCCATCAACTGGGAAACCTAAGATGATCTAATCCTTTTAACTTATGATTGACTGACTGGTTAAATTTTAATTAAAACTTGTTCACACCGAAATGTTATCTCAGCTAGAAGCTCAAGCCTGATAATTGTGGAATTAAAAGCTGTCTCCCTGTTTAAATACATCTCAGGCACCAGTAAATAAATGAATAAATACTGGAGGAGATGGGTGGGGAACCCTCTTGAAATCACAGCAGATGTCTGTGACTGGGCCAGAAGGCAACCTTTTTTAAAAATCTGCCTATGGGAGTCAGGGAAATGGGGGATATTGTCCTTCCTCACCAAGCTACTCCCCACTGCCCAGGAGAGACAATTCTCAACTGAGTCTGAGGAGGCCTCCAGAAGGAACAATAGCGGGGCCCTTCCTCCTACATGTCTGTCCTCACAGGGCTGTGGAGGCATGTGTATATCAAAGCCCCACACCTGGGAAGAACAGAGCCAGGGTACATTCAAGTCCATTGTCTGTCCCTCTGGGTCACTAGCTACTTCCAGTCCTTCTGTTTGCTACCAAATGCCACCCAGGCTTCTTACTCCAGCCTTCGCTGAGCACACTGAGCTGTGGGAATTCCCTCCGTGCTGCTATTTGCAGACTTGCAGATTCAGACTTTTCTGCTTAATAGTTAATGATGTTCTCGATCATACTTCCTCGGCTGAGGCACTCATTTTATATCCCAGCTCAGCCCTTGCCTCTTACACAGATCCTCCCCGTTGCTGACAGTGTTAGCACTGGAACACACATTTGGGAAAGTGGTTAGTATGTGTGAACCTACTTTTATTTTGAGGTGTTGAGTCTTTTCCTTTAGGGCAAAGCCCAACTAATGTCAATGGCCTCTCTCTCAACTGCCATCCTACAAGTATTTAAAGCACGATGTCATTGCTTGGCCACTGAGAACAGACACAGAACAAACGTCTCTCCACTATGGAGTATGTCCTCTAATAACAGTAATTTTTTTTAAAAAAAACAATACACATACAGGTAAGTGCTAGGGAGAAAATAAATTAGATTCAAGGAAATGCAGCTTTAAATAATGGATCGATTCTGGCGTGGTCTAATCAGCCTATGACTTTATCACGAGCATCAGAAGTTACTGCAGAGCACAACCTAAAGCCTGACTTGCTAAACAAATCCATCCCAGTAGGAAAGGCAAAGCATGGCTGCCCCTTGCAAAGACATTTCACTCCTCTTAGGTGAATGGACACGCCTCACCTTCTGCTCCCACACTTTTGCCGGAGCACAAGCACTCTCAAACGCTGAAACCACAAAGCAACTTAAGGTTGTCACCTGTGAATGGCGTGCTCTGAGTCCTCACGGGATGGCGGCTAGTAAAGGCTGTGTCCTCTCCGACACCAAATGGGGAAGGCCCGGCCTCCATAGCAGGGGTGTCTGCCATGAGGGAGTCGAAGTCCTTGTCCTCCTCCTCCTCGGCTTTGTACTCTTCCCTCCTTTCTTCTTGGTGTGTAAGAAGCACGGACTCAGAGGCAGGGACACTCTGCTCCATCAAGCCCTCCGTGCCAGAATCCAGTTCTTGAATGATTTGGTCATACTGTGTGATGAAATCTTCACCCTCTGTGTTGGTAACCTGCAAGTCTGACTGGGGTTCTGCCTCAAACGTGGGAACTGTCAACTCCGAGTCTGATTCTAAGGCTACACCAGGCTCATTCTCTGGCTTGGCTTCTGAGAACATGTTCTGACACAGGTCTGAACGCTCCTTGCTGAGTGACTCTGCCTCAGGATCAGGACTAAAGAGAGGTCCATTGCTCGTGAGGAGACTCTGGGCTTTGGGTTTGGCCTTGGGCTGATCCTCAGCTGGTGGGTCTGCAGTTTCCCCCTGCAGCTCCCTGGTGTCCTCTGCATCCTTCTCAGCACATAGCCTGTACACCATCACATCATCCTGGAAGTCTGACTCTTCAATGTAGGACCCCTTGAAGAGGAGAATGGCATTCTTCTTCATCTCTTGGATGTGTTTGGGGGGATCAATAGGTGCTGGTGGGGTTGGGGTCTCCACATCATCATAAGGCCCAGGGGAGCCCACATCAGCCCCTGAAGAGATACCAGTGTCGTAGCTGTCATCCCACTCCAGCTCTGACTGGCTCTTATCCTTTGTCTGTCCTGATGTCCTAACATGCTGCTGTGGGAGTCTGGCCTCTGGGTGGGCTGAGGTTTCTCGGCTCTCCTCTGAAAGACTCTGCAGAAAGGTCTCAGGGTCAGGTGAGTCCCCATCATAGAGGGCTGACCACACCCTGCAGTCCCTCATGCAGTGGAGGATGTTGGTGTGGGCCTCCCACAGATACTGCAGGTAGCTGATGTCCAGGGCCTTCCCATACTCCACAATGCAGGCTGCTGGGGCGGGTGGGGGAGGAGGGGAGGGTGAAGAAGGCGAGCAGGGTGTTTCTGGCAGCAGCTGCTCCTCGGATCCTATGTGAGAGCAGACAGCATCAGAGAGGTGAGAATGAGTGCACACAGGGAACCTGGTACCAGTTTAGGACTAACAATGGTTGATTAAATTATTTCTGAATAATAAAAAAGAAATTAAGAGGAAAAGACAGTGTCAGAAACTGCACTCTCACAGAAGACACAAAACAAAAATGAGCATCTACTGTGGAATCTGTTTTCTTGGACCTTAATTTGAAAGGCATGAGGCACGGCCTCTCTTTCTCTTCCCCATCTCCCTCTTCCAGGCAACTCCTAAGACTTACAGCTTGCCTATCCTGGCGTTTCTCTCTCAAATTTTAATAAAATTGTCTTTGTATTTCCTCCTGAGTCCATTTCCAAATTCATTTATTAACAAGACTAGGCGCCCAAAAGGAGAGAACCCTGAGTTCCCTTTAATACTACTAGTCCCTGGAGAAACAAGAGCTAATGAAGGCCACCTCCCTGGACGAGGAGATGACAGGTAACATTCCCAATGTGGTGCCTGCCACACTGTGTGATAACTTAAAAGTATTTTCATTTTCATGTTGGCTTTGGTAATAAAGTGAAAGACTGATTATTATGAGTTTGATAACCAGATTTTCTGGTAGTAAACTTCTGGGTTCCTAGGAAAGGCAATTAACTCACTCCACCTTGTTGACAACACTCAGGATGTAGACACATAGCAAATGCTCTCTTGAAGTCAAGTTACAGTCAAGCCAAAACAGAGACAATGTCCTGTATTTGAAGGCTACTGACTTCATGTTACAAATTTCAACAGCATCACTGAAATAGTTGTAAAAACACCTACTTTAAAGTTGGTAATTTCCCAGCAAAAGAAATGTTTAAAAAAGACTGACTTAGAGAAAACCATGCCTTCTACCATTTCTTAAACATCTCGAATATTGTCAGAGCTTTATCACTGGCCTGGACGTTACTGATCCTGTCTAACACGCCCAGCTGTGGCAGGGCCATGAGATTCAAGCACTGGCCTGCTCTGGACCCTCTCCACACTCCAGTACCATGTTTTTGTGAGCTCTGTGCTCCTTCATAACAGAATTTCTACCAGACTGGGTCGGGCTTGAGCCTTTACAAGTACAGATGAAGCCTAGTAAAACAGACACACGCCTCCTTGTTTACTATTCTACTGTTAGAAGGTTGGTGTCACTTTTCCTATACACTTGAAATAAAAAGACAATAAAATATCCCTGGGAATAGTTCCTGAGCAGTGACTACATGCTGGTAAAGCCTCCTAAGAGCCCTGAGTGCCTGGACTCACGTATCCTTGGAGCAGTCCTTCGGAGTAGGTAGTATTCACAAAAGAGGGGGAAAGGTTTGGGATGATTAAGAATTTTCCCCTAAAATGTGGTAAGAGCAGAATCCTCATTGGTAACTGCTACACAGCAATTCTGCCAGCTTGCTATGGAGCCCACCCACTGTGACATGTGTCTGTTGCAACTCTAGAGGCAGGATACAGAACAAACATGGGATGTGGCAGGGAAGATGCAAGTTACAGAACCTTGAACAAGTCGTCTCTCCTCCCTGAATGTTCATCTGTAAATGGCGGCACTACCTCCTCCCTGTCCTTAAATGTCATTGCACAGAGAACATAGCTGGCGAGTTTTAGAAAATCATGTTTAATCTGAATTTCAAATTTTGGAAATTAAAAACCAGGTATGCCTGGGTTATAGACTCAACACCTGTAACTCATTCTGTTTTAGAAGACATGTTAGTATACATTTTCCTATCTGGGCTCTGAAGGTATCACTAGAAAGGACATGTAAGATAAAAATCTGTGACAAATGACTTGGCAAAGACAGGTGCTTTGGTGAATACTAACCATAGAGTCTATAACTCCTTAAGAACATGAAAAGGCTCCAGCTACTCTTTAATTCCAGTTATTTCGTCTACCCAAGAGTCAGAAGAGATGGGTGTGGCATCATGTTTAATGATTATTCCTAACGTGTTCCCACCTGAGCCATCATGCATACACTTGGACCAGAGAATATAATCCCTTTCTTGGTTCCCAAGTGTCAGAGTGATGCCACTGGCACAACAGACAGGGGTCAAGGCAAGCAGCTTTGCCGCGGACACGGAGTAACAGTCTCTCTCCTTCACAGCCCACCTTTGACTCAGCATCATGTGATTGCAGGGGACCAGATACCTGAAATGACAAAGAGCCGGCATTCAGTAAGTATCTTTGTAATGCCCTGTCACCACTACCAGAATGATACCATAAAAGGACTGGAACTAGTCATGAGCAGGGGAAGACTCATCCTCTCCCCACCCAGCACACTGGCCACTGGCTATCCACTGCCTTGCTTAAAAAGATGCCAAGAGCTTCTTCCTTCCAACAGAAGTTCTCTTGGTACATTTCTAGCTCTCTCTATGACTTTCCTTATCACATTTCTCTCTTTACCCCTACGTTTTTAAGTCCACTGCAACCTCCCCCTGGAGTGAGCTTTCCCACTTCTCTGCCTGACAATTTCTTATCTTAGAAGCACCACATTCTCTAGGGAGACTTCCAGCTCCGTACTCGAAGGCAGAGACCTTCTCCCCCTCCTCTGCGTGTGCCTGGAAGCATTATTATTCTTGTATGACAAATTTGTCTAATCTTCCTCCTCAGCAAATGTGCTGCCAGAGCAAGGACTGCTTCAGTAGTCTTGTCTTACGATCCCTAAAACTCCGACTCTAAGTAAATGGGCTCTAAGTGAAGGTGGCAAATCCCTCCACACCATCTCCTGTTCTCCATGACCATGAGGGAAAATGATGCCTGACAGCTCGGTGGGGAGCCCTGGGCCCCACTGCACAGGTTGGCTGCTGACTGAAAGTATCTTCATGTTAACATGAGCCCAGGGAAGAGAAAATCTGGTCATGTTTCAGACACAGCTGAGCACATTAGTGAACTTTACGGGTAGAATGGGCGTGCTTAGCGCCTGCCTGTCCTAAGAAGAAACACCACACCAGTCGTTTCAACAAGGATTGACCAAGTGGGTTGAATGACACAGTGCAGGGGCCAATTTCTCATGGGCTTAAGCTCCCATCAAGCACAACCTTTAAATAAACCAGAATGTGCTTACTGCCTAACACAGCTCCCGAGAAAGGCAGCACAAAGGCAAACAATCTGTGACTGAGGATCCCATGGAAAAGATGGAAAACACAGTTCATGGGGCATGTCTAGGGGCCGGTGATCATGAAGTGCTCCCCCACACCTCCCGCTGATTCCAATGAAGGAAACCTAAGTTTGTTCTAATGGCCCATCTGCTGCAAGGAGCCTGAGTCAGGGAGAGAAACATGTAATCCCTTGGTCCACTCTATGCGATCACTTCAAGAGCACTCTCCAGGTATGAGTACTTTAAATTCCTAGTGTAGCTAGAGAAGAGAGTCCTGTCTCCTTTCTCCTGCCCTCCACCCTCATGGGCACACGCACTGCTGTTTCTAAGAGCCAGATTCACCCCATCAGTCACCTCTGGTGTGGCAGCATCTACTTTCATAAGCTGTTTCTTGAAAGCAAAGAACAAAGGAGCAGAGAGGGAGGGAAGTACAGGCAAGAAGACTGGTTTGTTCAGACTCAGTGGAGACCTGTGTCTGAACCTTACAGGATCAAGGATGGAGGATGTGGGCAGAAATAAAGACATCCTTCCTCATCAGGGCTCTCTGAACTGAGATTCCTTGGTAATCGGGGTGACAGTGGGGAGAGAAGCATTCCCCCATCTCTGTCTGAGCATTGTCCAGCTGGAACTCAGAGAATCACAGGAAATCCAGTTGTCCCAGCACCTCAGGGCAGCTGGATAGTGGGGATAGGACCAGAAAGCAGGTACAGGCAACCAGGGCCCAGGACATAATAGGAGTAAGGCAACATCCAGAAAAAGGGCCAGGGCAGGGAAGATAGCACAGCAGACACCAAATGATAACAATGGGAGAAAGACATGTTCATGAATGCATACAAGAGTCCTTGCTTGGCTAGGGAATGGCTGCTGTTTCACAAGAGACCAAAGTCTGGTATGAGATGGCAGGGATGCCAGCAAGCAAACCTATCCTGTAGCACTGACATGAACCCTTCTGTTCCCAGCCTAGTGAGACCTATAGTCATGCAGGTCACACAGGACTTATGGTATGCTCACGTGAATCCTTAACTATTCATGGAATCAACATTTTATAGACTTCATGAATTCAATGCCTGTTTTCAGCTCAAACCAACCATACCTTGTGACTTAAACTGATATACATGCCTCTACTCTTTCTTTGAAGTTTTTTTTTTTAAATGGAACACTGGATCAAAGCTAATAATGCTATTTATCAAATACCACCAGTGGATAGCTTGAAATTATTTTAGAAGAAAGAGTTGACAATGTACAACTCTGAAAATGCATGTTCTTAGAAGAAACTCAGAATCTCCTTTTAAATAAATCAAATGAAGGGAGATCCCTGTTGGTTTAAGCAGAGGTTCTATGGAGTGGAAATGGGGACAGTCACCCCAGTGAGTGACCTCGCTAGGATTCCCAGCCACTGTTCCTTTGGCTTTGTTTGTTTGTTTGTTTTTTGTTTCTAAATCAAGGGTAAGAAGGCACACTGTCCCTTGGCCCTGTGTCTATCCATCATTGAGAGATCAGGAACAGAACACATGCTAAATGCATCTCAAACAATAAACATGAATATATTGTGGTTGTTGCTAGTAGAAAAATCACGCAGGCATTTATTACACATATTTTTCACTAAGCTGTCTTCTGACTATGTGATACTTAATTTTGTTTGGAGATTTTATTTAGATTAGGTTTACTGACTGATAGAAATGCTGCGTTTCTCAGGGCGGCCTCCAGCTGATCATCTCCCTGCTTCAGGTTCATGAGCACTAAGGTCTACAGCATCACACGCAGCTCACAGATGAACAAGTCCTGTACTTAAATGTTCAGGTCCCAGATTAAGTTATTCCCCAATATAACGGGGAGGGAAAGAGTCCATTTACATGTGTATGTGCATGCGTGCATGCGTGTGTGTGTGCGTGTGTGTGTGTGTGTGTGCGCGCGCGCACGCAAGGGTACAAATATTTTCATTATTTCCTCAACCCTCTACAACCTTTCATTGGACATCATTTATTAAAATAAACCATCACCCAAAAAAAAAAAAAAAGCTATGAGCTTTGGAAGAGGGCATGGGATGCAGAGCAGGAGGAGGTATGGGAGGTAAATATTATCAAGACACATTTTATACATGTATGAAATTCTCAAAGAATAAATTCTTAAAAAACAGGTCATCATCCAGTCTAGGCAGTGAATAACAAGTGGTGACACAGAGCACACACTGCTTACTGCTACACTGGCAGGGAAACAACCAATCAAACAGCAGAAACGAGGGACTGGAGGAGACAGAGACAAAGAACTGACTGAGAGCAGGCAAGTGAGCTTCCAAAGATCTCACTGGTCACCACAGTTCTGGCTATGTTTCTCCTGTTCACCCTCCCTGCCTGACTGTCCACCTCGGCCACTGTCCCCCAGCAACTTTGCAAGACAGAGGTGTCCCTGAATTGTGTACACATAGCCTCTCTTCAAGTAAAACTGCCCCTATCTGGACACAATACATTTCTGCTCATTGACCTCCCCTCTCTTTGGGAATCTCATTTCAATTTACTCTTCTGTCACTTGGCCAAAGGAGAGACTTGCCTCAGTTATGAATAGAATCCTACTCTGAAGCATTGAGACTTAAGAACACTTAAGGCACAACAGACAGAGAGATGGTAATTTATCTACCACACAACAGCGTCATTAGGAGTGATCCACACAACCTACGATGCTCACGGGCTCTCAGGCCCCCAGTCAAACAACTGCACAGCAAGCAGAAATGAAAAGGGCAGATTATAACCTATTTTTATATTCTTTCAAACAAAGTTTAAATGTCTAGAAGAATGAAGTTCTTTGCTGCCCTTGCTTCAGGGACAGATTCTAAATCAGAAAAGACATTATTTTTATGAGTTTAAAATATATTTTCTAGAAGGTTCCCATCCTTTAAATATATATAATACACCACATTGTTTCAAAATGTTTTTGTGCTATCACCACAATTGTTCCTTTCAACAATCCTACTAAGTAGCATATTCCAGAAGTAGAACAAGAAAACAAGCAGCTCAGAGGGAGCAGAGGGAGCCAGAGGTCTCCTGCACAGGTCTTCTTGGGTGCTTTCCTCTGGCATTCCACCAGGAAGTAGAGTTGGAAATAGGAAGTACTCAGTAAAGAACAACTGTGTTACTCCATTAGCACCATCATGTCCAGGAAAAAATTAGCCAGCTAGAGCACCTAGGGCCAGTGGTCCAGCTGTCTGCACCTCAGGCCTGGCATCCCCTCCTTCTTCCGCGCAGAACCTGTAATAGCATGATGCTCTGCAGATACCTCTGGGACATCACAGAGCCAACTAGCCCTAATTTGGACATGTCCACATTCAAACATAGGTTCATTTCTCATCTTCATAAGGACCAGGCCTGGCTCTCAGAGGCAGCCTTGTTTAGCACCGCTGCTGAGAACAGATCTGAATACTATGAGCAGACAAAAAGGGAGCAGAGCTCATCTTGTAAAGCTCACCAGATGTCCAGCAAGCCAACCTGCCACACTCTGGCCTTGGTGACCCACAGTGAGGAAGCAATGGACCTCAGACCTGGTCAGGCTGCCATTTCAGACACAGAGAGGTGAGGAGGGGGAGGGGGAGGGGGAGGGGGAGGGGGAGGGAGAGGGAGAAGGGGAGGGTGAGGGGAAGGGGGAGGGAGAGGGGAGGGGGAGGGAGAGGGGAGGGGGAGGGGGAGGGGAGGGGAGGGGAGGGGGAGGGAGAGGGAGAGGGAGAGGTAGAGAGGGAGAGGGAGAGGGAGAGGTAGAGAGGGAGAGGTAGAGAGGGAGAGGGAGAGGGAGAGAGGGAGAGAGGGAGAGGGAGAGGGAGAGAGGGAGAGACGGAGAGACAGAGAGACGGAGAGACAGAGAGACAGAGAGAGTGAATGCACTTTATCTCTGCTGTCAGTGGAACAGCATTTAGGAATTTTACATTTAAATGCAATCAAGCTTTGCCCACCTTGAGAAAGAGCCTGGGTCTAAGCAATAAAAAATGCTTTGCTGAGTCGTTGTGCTGGCTTTCACTCAGGCCCTGCTAATGCATTCTGTCCTGGCTGTAGATTCTTGCTGGAGCTGAAGTAATCCTTTTAAAACAGGCTACCAGCTGCGTCCTTATGATCGGATTTGTTCTCTGCTAATGTCTTAAGATTAGTTACTGATGACCCGATTTAAACTCTAAAAGTTCAAAAACAGTTTTACTTAAAAATCTTATAAATGATAGATAGTCTCCTATAAAGCGACAATCTGTAAGGCCCTCCATGGTATGCCACCAAGATTTTCAAGACTCGGATTTAATTCCCCTTCGGTGGAATGCTATGTTCACATCAACTATCCCTCCAGCCAGTGATACTCCAACCCCAGTGGTATGCCGGGGTCATCTAGACTAACGCCTCTCAACCGTCCTAATGCTGTGACTCTTTAATCCAGTTCCTCATGATGTCGTGACCACCCCCCCACCGTAAAATTATCTCATTGCTACTTCATAACTGTAAGTGTGCTACTGTTATGAAGTGTAATGTAAATATCTGATATTCAGGATATCTGATATGCAATTTGGGGATTGAAACCCGCAGGTTGAGAAACACCGTTCTGGAGCATTTGTTAAGACACAGCTCTCAGGCCTCACCTACAGAGCTTCTGAATCACCAAGTTCTGGGGGAATCTGCATTTCTGACCTGTCCTAGGCATTCCCAGAAAGGTATTTCCCCCCTCCTTCCCAGCCTGCCTCCCTCCTCCTCCTTTCTGTTTATACATACATACATGTGAAGGTCAGAGGTCAACTTCATATACCATTCCCCGGGCACCATCTACTTTATGTTGAGACATGGTCTCTCATGGACCTGGCACTAGACTATTAACTCCAGTCTGGCTGGACAGTGAACTCCAGAGATCCTGTCTCTGCCTCTCTTGCACTGGAATTACAAGCAGACACCACCACACCCAGCTATTTTTAAAATGGGTTCTGGGGGTCAAATTCAGGTCCTTATGCTTGCATGGCAAGCTCTTCATCAAATGAGCTGTTCCCAGCCCCCTTCAGTGATTTCTACTCAAATCATATCAAAGCCCAGTGGTGGACTAGAGAAAGCCCAGGTCTGCCTGTAGCCCTGTCCTCAGGTTCACTGGTCCTTGTGTCAACTGAAGGAGGAGGAGTACACTCAAGGGTGCACTGGCTGCCCCTCCTACACTATACCTGCCGGCCACCCACCTCGTAGAGCAGAGCTCCTCAGGCCAGGGCAGCACACTTCTGCTGCCAAGGCTTTCCATTCCTCTCTTCCCCACCCACCAGAAAGCACAGCTCTGTGTCTATGTGCCAGCCCGCTTAAGAGATGATAGAACAACCCAGCGCATCTCTATGGGAAGTTAACTTCTGCCTGTCTCTGCTTTGTGCATAGCAGTTACAAAGGAGAGGGCTAGATGATTTTGCCCCAGCAGTCTTCCTATGGGGATTACAGTTCTATGGCCTCTCTTTACAAACCCTGCAGCTCAAGTCAGGGTGGGTCTCACAGGAGGGGTGCATTCCAAGATTTAGGATTGGGGTTCTGTACAAAGGAGAAAAGGCAATCATGGAGGACTAGCCTGGTACTTTTGGGGTTCAGCACTGGGATTCAGGACCAAACCTCATGTTAGCAATGAAGCGTGGTCATTTTCCTTCACAGAAACACAGGTTCCCGTGGGCAGGGGAAGAAGGGAGAAGGCAGAACTGGAGACTGATGAACCTGCTGCCTAGTTACCAAGCTCAGACCATCTTAACTGCCTGAGACTCCCATCCTCAGACAGCAACATCTTCAAAGGTTCCCCACGTTCCCCACCTTGTCCCCTGTCTGCTCCCTGCTCCTCACAACAAAGCACACAGACTGCACAGTCACAATGTAATGTTACTAAAGAAAAGGCTGAAGACTATATTCAAGTGTTTTATATTTGAAAAAGTTGTTTTTAATAACAGGGGTCCCTTAAGAGGGCAAACCCAAAAGGGTACCTCAGGAGAATGAAGTTCAGCCATGACCCCAAGAGCTTTATTTAATAATTTCAAACTTTTCCAACATTCTCCTTATTGTTTTCAGGGACACATTTATAATACAATACAAATGCCCCTCACTAAAATCTTTCCATAATAAAACAAAATTAACTTTGGTAAATAACACCGAAAAGATTAAATTAGCTCTCTTAATAATTTTCCTCCTCAGAGGCATGGTCCTTGCCTTATTCACACTATCAAAGTGAAACAAAACAGCAGTAGTACAGAGGAAACGTTTCTTTCACGAGAACAAGACAACAGAAACTCACCTTAAAACTAGCTGTAACATCACGTCTTCACAGTGTAGACCGATGAGAGTTCTGAACAGCGCCAAGGACACCACACAAAGCTGGGGACAATGAACACGGGCTGTGTCAGTGTCAGGCAAGAATTCCACCAACAGGTGACAAAGAACTCAGAATTACAGAACAAAATGGTCTCTCTATCCCTGGCAGTTTTCATAAAACACACATTGCTGCCAGGAATAAATATATTCAGTATACCAGTTCCCCTGGGGGAAGAGTTGGCTAGAACCCCAATGCCTGCCTGAGAGATGCTAGTGCTCAGATTGAGAATCTTCAAAGATCCAGATAACAAGAATGTGCCCCCTCAACTCCTAACACACACATAGTCTTCTCTATTTCATCTTCAGACAATTTACTGTTCTAAGTTGTCTTCAAATGTGACACTGGTTATTTACAGGACAGAGCTCACTGGAAAGTACTTATAACCTGGCCAGCTCTCTCCAAAGTTTACAGCTCCAAGCCTTGATTTCTCTCTTGCTATTGAGGCAAGTTTTTCTCTTTGGTTCTATTTTCTATAGTGCTCTGAGAATGGAAATCTACTTCCCTAAGGAGTTCACTCAAAAAAAAAAAATTAAATGAATTTTCTTTTACAAACACATAAATTCTTTCAATCTCTATTTCCTAAAAAAGGAATGATTAAACAGGGAAATGTCCAATTACAAAAATCACTGTAGCTTCCGTATCATAGGCTGTCATTAATCTATCAGGTCATTTAAGTAATTTAGACTCCTCAGTCTTTGTAGAGGAGAGTAAATGCTAGTTCGTATTCTAGGCAGGATGACCTTATACCAGCAAAGGGATTGTAAAGAAAGAGCTGTCTTTGACCTGACTTCAAACATCTTTGCTCAGGATGGTGACAAGCTTAGGCAGTCAGACACAACACACTCTCTCCCATTCCAAGGTACTGTATGTGCTCCATGTGGTGGTTTGAATAGGTATGACCCCCACAGACTCCTGTGTTTGAATACCTGGCCCTTAGGGAATGGCATCATTAGGAGGTGTGGCCTTGCTGGAGGAAGTGTGTCACTGTAGGGGTGGGCTATGCCCAGAGTGACAGTCTCCTTCTGTTGCCTGTGGATCAAGATGTAGAACTCTCAGCTCCTTCTCTAGCACCATGTCTGCCTACCATGCTCCCAGGCTTCACACCATGATGATAAAAGACTGTAAGCCAGCCCCGATTAAATGTTTGTCTTTATAAGAGTTGCCTTGATCACAGGGTCTGTTCATAGCAACAAAACCCTAAAACCTCCCCTTACCTGGAATGTCTTTTCTTGCCTCTTCTGAGACTTAGCCTGGAATCACCTCTCCCTGGTAACCCTTTCTGTTTTTTTCTCATGAGACAGCCACCCAACATTTTTCCAGTCTCAAATAGCTATCCTGCTTATCTATTGCCATAGTAACCCCTGCCAATCACTGTCAAGGTGCTTGGCAAGGTGTGTGTTTCTTTTAATAACTGAGTTGTAGGAGTTCTTTATTCTATGTACAAGTATTTTATATGATTTAAAACTTTTCAACTATTCTGTGAATTGTCTTTTCAAGTTTTCAAATCTTGTTTGTTTATAACTTGAAACTATTATTGTTGTACGTGTGTGTATGATGTGTGCGGGCACACATTCCACTGTGCACACATGAATGTCACAGGACAGCATAGTAGAACTGGTTCTCTCCTTCCACCTTTATGAGGTGTCCATGGATTGAATTCAGGTAACCAGCTTTGCACAATGAGAACCTTTACCCACTGAGGCATCTCACTGGATCTTAATTTAGGTTTGTTTCTGAAATACGGTCTCGCCCTGTAACTCAGGCTAGCTTCCAACTTGTGATACTTCTGCCTCAGTTTCCAGAACACTAGGCTCAGAGGCACACACCACCCACTACACTTTGTTTCCATGTCTTAGTACCCTTAAAACACTAAGGAGCTTCATCTTGAATATGCCCAATTTTGTCTAATTTGTCTTTAGTTGCTCACGGTTTTGGTGTCATCTTAGAAACCATTGCCACGACTGCACAGATTTTCTTGTTTTCTTTAAACTTTAAGTCTTTGAGTCATTGTGATTTAATGTTTGTTTATCATATGAATTATTAATTCAATTCCATTCTTTTTTCCTCATGATTTCTTTTTCTTTAGTTGTTTTACAGACATGTGCACATGCACACTCACACATGCAAGTGTGTATATGTTCCTAAACATATAAATATAACCTGCTCTGTCCAGATGATGCTCCGTGTACATGATCTCAGGGCCAACTTTTCATAAACTGATGCCCAGTTGTCTTTTTCAAGTTTGTTGTGGCTATTCTGGGAACTTTGGGTTTCTGTGTGAATTTTAGAATCAGCCTATCAGTCTCAGCAAAGGCTAATTGGTTTTATAGTGAACGAATTCTAAGTGTAGGTCAATTTGGGTAATACTTTTATAGGAACAATATCAAGTCTTCTAGCCTATGAGCATAAGATGTTTCTGCACTTATTTAATTCTGTGATTTCTTCCTGAAACATTTGTAGTTTTGCACTAAGTTTTACACTTCTTTTGTGAAATTCCTTCCAAATTATTTTATAACTGTTGACACTATTATAAACGATCTTAATTTGATTTTTATATGGCTCACTGTGAGGCTTAGTGTTAATTGCCAACTTGAAAGAATCCAAAATCATCTGGGATATAAACCTCTGTGTGTGTGTGTGTGTGTGTGTGTGTGTGTGTGTGTGTGTGTGCGTTTGTGTTGAGGGGTGGGTATCTTAATAAGCTTGGTTGCTGTTGGAGAACCCATCTTACATGTGGACCACAGGCAGAGAACCTGAACCTAGCCTCAACATCCACGCAGTCATCCCTCTCTGTTCCTGACATGGATGTGACTGTGAGAGCCGCTTCAGGCTCCTGCTGCCTGGAGGCCCTACCATGATGAACTCTACTTTGAAACATAAACTAAGAAGTAAACCTTTCCTCCTTCAAGTAACTGTCTTTGTCAGAATGTTTCTTCATAGTAACAGAAAAAAGAAGTGTTAGAACACTCACTATCAGCCGGGCAGTGGTGGCACAGGCTTCTAGTCGCAACGCTTGGGAGTCAGAGGCAGGTGGGTTTCTGAGTTTGAGGCCAGTATTTGCTACAGAGTGAGTTACAGGACAGCCAGGGCTAGAAACCCTGTCTCGAACCCCGGAAAAAAAAAAACCACTCACTATCATATAAAAATAGAATTGATCTTGCAATGAAATTGTATTTTTGCAGCCTTGCTGAATCATTGAGTTCTAATGGTTCCTTTTAGCTCATTCCTTAGATTTTTGTTTTGTTCTGCATATAAGATCATGTTATCTAAAAATCAAGCAGCTTTAATTTTAATTTGGGTCTTTGTTTGCTTAATTATATGAACAGAGCACTGTGCTTAAATAATTAATAAGCATACTCTTACCTGCAGGAAACACTTTCTCTTTTAAGTTTTAGTTCGAGTTTTCATAGATCCTCCCTCAGCTTAAGAAAGTCCCCACTATTCTGATTCATTGTGTCTGGAAATCATCATTCTACTCTGGTTTTGTAAGCTTGACTATGTTTTTTCTGTCTATTTGCCACAGACAAATACAGGCAAGCAGTTTGTGATTTGGTTACTGGCAGTACTATCTTTTTGCTACTGAATGTAATGTCTTCAAGGTTCATCCATGTCTTGCAACAACTCAAAGGAACCTCCCCTTTGTACAGTAAGCACATATCTACATACCTGTGGATTCTTCAAATCAATGTTGCTTTTACTTTAAACTCATTGTAACCAGACAACGTACACTGCATGATGTCAAAGCTTTTACATCCTCTGAGCCTTGTTGTCGGTCTGGCTTGAGAAGGCTGACTGTGCACCCTGCTGCTATCAGGTGAACTGTTAAATGAGATTTTTTTTCCTAGTATAACACTTTGATTTTCTTAATTTTTTTCACACAATTTTTCTTTATTGGGACAGTAAATAGCTATGTAGCCCAAGCTAGCCTCAGGTTTGCAGACTTCCTGCCTCAGTCTTCTAAGTGCTGGATTACAGACCTCTGCCACCATTTGTGCCTCTAGGCTATAAATACATATAATACATGTATTTATATATAATAAGTGTATGTTATATACAATATATAAATATATATTTATATACATGTACAATGTATGTAAAATATAATATATAATATATATGTGTGTGTGTGTGTGTGTGTGTATGTTACAGATTTTTTTCCTCAGTAGTTACCTTTTTTCTTCCAGCCTTCCACTAAATTGCTACCTCATGCCCTGACCACTTGTGTTCCCTGGCTCACCCTGCACCTGAGTCTTTATATGTTCTTAGAATCTTGCTCCTTCAGAAGTACATTTTGCCAGTTCCACACAAGAAAGCATTGACACAAAAAGAGAAAGTGGGGGGGGGCAGTACCACCTCCCAAACAAAGGGACACCGGATAGGAGAAAATATTATCAAATTATCTATGTCCACAAAGAAAAAGGATAACAGCTGCAGGAGAAATGGGAAGGGAGGGAGAGAAATATTCATAATTCTATTCCCCAAACCGTTCTTCTCTGGAGTCTGAGTTGAACACATCTTTCCTCAGAAGCTCTCCTTACCCGAAAAGGGGTGTTGATCCGGCTGGTGAGGGTGTCCAGGATGTGGACATTCTCATGCTGGTGCAATAGGATGAAGCGGAGGAAGATCTCCAGGAGCGCTGGCTCAGAGATGCTGCGCAGGAAGAGGTCCAGGTATGCGGTTGTGGTCATGACCTCCTCCACTGTCACCTGTGACCAGTGGCAGAGAGAGCACAGGTGAGCATGGGGCCAGTGGCAGAGAGAGCACGGGTGAGCATGGGGCCAGTGGCAGAGAGAGCATGGGCGAGCATCATCTCAGACTGACGGACGCTCACCCCAGTACCCCACATCAGCACAGGGACACTGCCATGAAAACTGTTAGCTGGAGCCAGCCATATGTCTATGCTACACAACACCTGCCCTGCTGCTCAGGAAGGGAAAGGCGGAGGCAGAGGGAAGGCAGCCATATGCTCTGACGGCTCGAGTCAAACGCAGTTTAAACCCTATAAACATTTTAGTGCATACTCGAAAATAGTGCAGGAGAGTATGAAAAGTATTTATATGGTTAATAAAGGATTAATTAGAAAGTTTGGTGTAATTTGTCTCATTATTAGTCATTCAATAAACATTTACTGGCATCCTCTAAGTACAAGGAGCTGTAAACGTAAGAACATTCTTTATGTTCAGAAACCAAGCTATAGCAAATTTAATGATAATATAATAAATTGCAAAGGAGAGGTGCAGACATGGAGTGCTGCAGATGTTCACTCAGATGTGTTTCTCGAGAGCAGCAAGCCAATATTTTTATAAATGAATACTGCACATAAAGCATTATTTATAAAGTGCTATAAGAACGTACTGCTTAATAGAGCAATGGTGACTTTTTTATAATACAAATTAAGATTTTCTACCTGTGTGCTTTTCCTATACAGAAAAAAAAAGTGTCATCCTTTCAATGACTCAGACTGGAATTGGATTCATCACAGAGCTAAGGACGGTTAAAGCATCAGAGTTCTAGCCTTAGACATTCGTGTATGGAGGGTACGTGTGGTTGTGATGGTGGAGGCGAGACGTCAATGTCAGGTGTATCCTTTGGTCACTGTAAACCTTGGGAGTTTTTACTTTGGGGGAAGGATACCTTAGGGAGCCCACAGCTTACTTATTCCACTAGGAGGGTGAATGGCCCCTCCAGGATCCGCTTGTTTGCTACCCTAGCCATAAGGTACCGATGCACATTGCTACCTAGCATTTTACATGGACGGAGGGAGCTGAACTTGGGTCCTCGTGCTTGCATGGCTGCACTTCACTCACTGAGCCGTGTCCTTAGCCCCTCAACCTTAGCCATCAACTTGAAGAGCTACTGCATCCTCCCTAGTCTCCTAAAAGCAGATGCACCCGCTGATCTTTCTATGTAGAGGTCATCACCAGGTTATTAATGTTGGGCACAGGAATATCCACCCTCAAATGCACTGAAACCATCCAACACTCAGCTCATGTTCTGGGGTTCCATATTCTGCAAACGCCTAGCCTCATCCAGTGCACTCCAGTCTAAATGAAGCAGATAGCAATACTGTCTGAACAAGTGTATCTCCTCTCTCCCAGTTTCTGTTTTATTTCCTCCTCCCTTTGAAAGTGTTCATTGTCTCAACCTTCTCTCCGCAGCTCTCCTTACACATAATACCCCCTCCCTGTTTCCCTCAATCAAGGTGGGTGGGTAGTGGGGCGGTGGGCTGGGGTGGGGTTGGGGGAGGGAATCTCTAGGATGTGCCAGAGACTCAGGATGAGGGAGGCCCCAAGGAGTCTATGAGGGTGACTCTAGCTGAGACTCCTAGCAGTGGGGTTTATAGAGCCTGAAGTGGCCACCTCCTGTAGCCGGGCAGGACTACTAGTAGAGATATAAGGATATCAACCCACCCACAAAAACAGTGACCCAAAATTTGCCCTGCCTACAAGAAGTACAGGGACAAAGATGGCGCAGAGACTGAGGGAATGACCACAAATGACCAGCCCAAAACAAGACCCATCCCATGGGAGAGAACCAGTCCCTGACACTATTAATGATACCGTTATGCTTGCAGACAGGAGCCTAGCGTAACTGTCCTCTGACTGATATAGATGCTGAGATCCACAGTCAAACATTAGACGGAGATCAGGAAGTCTTGTGGAGCAGTTGGGGGAAGGATTGAGGAACTTGGTGGGGATAAGGACTCCACAAAAAGACCAACCGAGTCAACTAACTGGACCCGTGGGGGTTCTCAGAACCTTAATCACCAACCAAAGAGCATATATGAGCTGGACCTAGGCCCCCCACACAGATGTAGCAGATGTACAGCTTGGTCTTCAACAATAACTGGAGCAGGGGGCTGTCTCTGACTCTGTTGCCTGCCTGTGGATCCTGTTTCCCTAACTGGACTGCCTTGTCTGGCCTCAGTGGGAGAGGGTGGACCTAGTTAATTGACTTAATGTGCCAGGGTGGGATGGTACCCAGGGGGCCTCCCTCCCCCTTCTCAGAGGAGAAGGGGAGAAGAGAGGGGGAAACATGTGCAAGGAGGGCTGGGGGGGCTGTAATCAGGATATAAAGTGAATTAATTAATTAGCTAATTAATTAATTAATGGGGAAAAGTGTTCACTGTCACTGTAATCGTACCAGTACCTGGGCCACCCCCTTTATACTACATTCCTCCTCTCCTCTTCATTTTCAGCTTTAAAAACCCACAGATGAGAAAACAGATGTCCAGAGCTCTGGATCAGTGAAGACAGGCCAGGAACAGCTGCACTGTGGATACAGGCATGGCGCTCTCATGTTAGTGGTTTGAATTACTTTTTATAAGTTCTTGGTACTCAGCAGTGTTCTGGAAAGATGAGTCCAGGTAAGTAAAATATTTCAAATCGGCTGACTCCTTCTTTATTCTAATAAATAAAGGACTTTATTTATAGTAATGAATTCGCTTTTTCAGAATCCATGGCACTCCCACGATGGGCACATCTCTGCAGTGCAAACACCCTCCCTCCTTATGGCTGCAACAGTGTAAGCACTCAAGCATGGAGAACATCACATAAAGTCATCTGGCCACTTTAATAGGCTCTCCGTAGCCCAAATGTAATAAAGGAAGAGGAAGCAGGGAAGCATCGACACTGGGGAGGGAAACTCCACTGAGAAAGTGCTCCTCACAAGCTGCCCTACCTCTGCAGCTAGCTGCAATGGCCTGGCATTTTCTGCAGTTCTTGAGTAGGGCTGGCATGGGACACAGCTAACGATGTCCTGAGGTTCATACCTAATCACCCAACCACAGCACACAAAGCTAGGCATACAGAGAACTTCCTTATGGGTGAATGGCAGCTACCCCTCACAGGTCCAGCATGTGATGTCTGCCAGAGTTGAACATAACAATTCTTCCATATCCTCTGTACCCCATCTGTGTAAACTGTGGTTGGGACCAAATAAATAAATAAATAAATAAATAAATAAATAAATAAATATGGAGATTATGAAAAGAAGGAATAATAGACAGCTTCTAAATACATAGCTAGCAAAAATAAATTTAAAATAAGATCTATAGTCAATCTGAGGTGTTTTGGGCACAACTCACCCATGCTGTATTCTGAGAGTTCACTGCAGCCTTGGTTTTAGACACTTACCATGGGGACTGTGCATGCTGTCATGCCACACAAGACCAAGAAACCCTGCTCAGATTCTACACTGTCATATATTATGGTGATTTTTCTCCTTCCCTTACAGAAGCACAGCAGTTTGTCTTATGGGAAGACTGTCAATATTTCCTGTCATTACTCTTCACCATGTGAGTACAGAAGTTCTTTAGCTTTGGATTGCATTATGTTAGAATGCTTGCTTGTAGACCCTGCTGTTTGGGTTGTTAACTTGAGTTTCACAGAAAATTTGTTAAATTTTTAATTAAGATTAGGTCAGGATTTCTAACAATTTCTGAAATGATCCTAAGTCTCACTGACACCACTTTGTACCATGTATTTATGTGAAATGGTATTCTCAGAACTGACAATTATAAAATCAAAGCATCAATCAACCCTGAAAAACACTGAAAATGTTCTACATCCTGCAGCATCAAATATTCACTCAAGAATTAATATTTTATGGAGAAATAAATAGGCACATCCATCAGCATGCAACTTTGATTTCACATTAATAAATGGCAAAATTATATGTGTAATAAATAATTGCTTTTATTTTAATATGATTTATTAATATAAGCATTTGATTTGCTTATCTATTTTATATACCCATGGTGGTAAAATGTGAAATGTCCCCCATAGACTCATATGTTTGAACACTTTGGTGTCTAGTTGGCAGTGCTACTCAGGAGGCAGAGTCTAACTGAGAGAGTCACTCATAGACAGCAGGCCTTGGAGCTGTAGAACCCAGCCCTGACTCCCGCCTTCTCCCTTCTTCCTTTCTGCAGAGTCTACGTGACTGACTGACTCCTCTGCTGCCACACTTCACACCATGATGGACTGACTGTGTACCATCCTAACTCTAAGCCAAAACAAACCCATCTCTCCTCTAACTGTTTCTTGTTGGTTATGATGATGAGAAAAGTAAGAAGTGCACCGCATATCCAGGGTCAGATAAAACTTCTAAGGCAAAAGGAATTCCAATTAGTAAGCATCTAAGAAGTCTTGCTCTACCTGTGTCCTAGAGGCACCGGAAATGGGTGCTCTTCCATCTGATATCCTCTTTGTTCTTTCTTTTTTTTCTGTGTGTGTATATGTGTGCATGTGTGTCTGTGTGTCTGTGTGTTTGTGTGTCTGTGTGTGTGTATGTGTGTGCTTATGCATGCACAAGTGCTTCTGTGAATGGAATTCTACTCGACCCCTGCCTGTGCTAGCATTGTCCACTATGCTACACTCCTCCTTTAGCTTTTGGCACAGCTCCCCTGTATGAACCAAGTAACCTCTGATAGTCTTCCTGACTCCCAAGTGATGACTTCTAACTGTAATCCTCCTGCCTTAGGCTCCAAAGCATTAAGACCACAGGTATGTGCTACTGCACTTGGGTGTAGATACATTTTTAGTGAGGATCGCCAAAAATAATCAATGCCACGAAACAGAGCTAAACAGGAAGTAATGCTCACCTTCAAGCATGGAGTTCTACTATGCATATCCCCTTAACTACAACATCAGGGTTGGCTGGTCTAAATCTCAACCCAAATGATGAAGGCAAAAAATCTAAATAG